ATGTGATGCTTTAAAAGTAACCTTAAAGTAATCATTAAACCCACTGACCAGAGAAATGCTGGCTCTGCATAAGAATTCCTAGTGCTGAAAAGTGTTCGAAGTAAGTGCAAAGCATACAAGGAGTAAATTATATCCAAAGAGATTCTTAATTATATATGTACTGGACTAAAACAGCAAGGAACCTTCATTGCGTGAGAAATAGTAGTTTCAGTGTGAGAACGAACGATTGAATTCGTTTGTGCGAGCCTCGTGCTCAATGCTTGAGACTTGAGAGCACTGTGTCGGGTTTTTTTTAATAAACAAAGGTATTACGATGTGTTATACATGTAGCTTCGTTTTAATCGAACAAGGTCAAATTTCCCAACCCAACTCCTCTCAGACGAAATTCCGACAGGCGACATAGGAATCTTGCGAAATGGCGACATGGCTGGTGGCGAAATTCAGACAGGGGACATGGGTACCCCCCCTAACAGGGCCTCAGCTCTTAGCAGGTGATAACGAGACAGAAGATCTGTAGAAGAATAAAAATTCTGAAAACCAGAACTTTCGTTGCAGCTCTGCTGTGCCTTGATTTTTTGTTGTTGAACTATTGGATGAGCCCAATTCAAGGCAATTGCTTCCTTTATATCAGTTAGCATAAAACACAGACTGCAGACCAGGGGTAAAATGCAGACTGAGGATAAAATGCAGACTGCAGATTGTAGACTAACTACATCGTGATACTATTTCCATCATTGAGAGCTAACTGTAACCAGGCTACCTAGAGCATTATTTAGGCTAACATGAGTGATATTCAGACTAACTAGAGTGATATTCAGGCACTTACACTGCGATTAGCCTGAATAACCCTGTTAAAGTTAGCAATCGATAACGCAAATGACACGATATATAGTTAAAAAGTCTGTAGTCCGTAGTCTGCATTTTACCGTCATTTTCCATTTTATTTTTGCATTTTATGTTGCATTTCACCGTCAGTTTGCAATACCCCCGGTGACGTCTACAGTCTGCGTTTTACACTGACCGCCTTTGTATTTACACTACTGCGGTACACTTGCACAATTCAGTTGTCCTTATGCGGTATTTTCGCATTTCTTCTCACAAAATGCTATTAAAGCCTCAGCCTGGGGCTAGAGAAATGGCCAATGCTATCAGCAGAGCAGTCACCTTTACGGTGCAGTCTGAGAGTGTTTTCATACAGTAAGTTAAATTGCTTTGATTTATTCATGGAAGAGAAGTGAAAATTCGAATGAAGATATGTTTTCGTCTGTTACTACTACTTTCGATTGGTACTATCGAGTAATCTCCTCACCTTGAGCAGTAACTTCAGAGGAGGAAAGACATCTTCATCCAAAGCCACCGCCATTTTGGATAGTATAATTCCCTGGGAGGGGTGGGACAGTAGTGTTGTTCGGAAAATAAAGTTCTTGAGATCATTCAAACAGAAAAATCAGAATCGAATTATGGTATATGTTTGTTGTTCTCCTGTTTAGCGAGCTTTACTAGTAATATGATCATATGGCCATAATCAAAGATGGCGAACACGTTAAAGAAATTATATTCGTGCAGCCTTATGTGCTACCCCAGGGGACAATTTTGTCATCGATGAACAGCTTAGCAGCCACGCGTCGTGCCGCACAAGACACGGCTAGTTTTTGAAAAGAGAGGGATTGTCTCCCTTCAATACAAGCATTTATACAGAATTTTGCGCAAAATGAGTCGATTAACACGAACTGTGACTAGTCTGACACGTTATCTGTTCGTCTCAACCAGAAATTTTCACGCCACGATGTGCAGACTATCAGAAATAGACACCACGCAGGAGAAACTGTTGGCAGACCCCCTCATCTTGGTGGACGAATATGATTGTGTCACTGGTTATGAAACAAAACGCGATTGTCACCTCAAGAAAAACATCATGGAATACGGTATGCTGCATCGAGCCTTCAGTGTTTTCCTGTTTAACAAACAGGGAGAGTTGCTGTTACAACAAAGATCGAAAGAGAAGATAACTTTCCCAGGTTACATTACTAACTCTTGCTGTAGTCATCCTTTGTACGATGAAGCTGAGCTAGACGAATACAAGCACATCGGAATAAGAAGAGCTGCAAAGAGAAGGCTTTCCTATGAACTTGGAATTCCAGGTATATGCAGAGTTTTGCTACGGTCACTGATCTGGAAGTTTCCCAGGGAAGTGGAAACCAGGGCTCCAACAGGACACTCCAGGTGTAACACGGTCAGCCCCCAAATGCCCACCCCCCCCCCCACATCTCCCCCCACGCCGCCGCCACTGCTGCGACCCCCTGATGGAGTATTTGTTAAAAATGGCAGATCAGCCTGTTGCACTGCTAGGGCAGGTTGTTCCAAGCCCGATTAAGGTGACTCAGGTTTATCCTGGTTTCCGTATTTCTACCCCCCTCCCCTCCCCTGATGGGATGCGAGTCCATTGCAGGGTTACCCCAGCATCAAACTAGCCCTTGCCCTTTACACACCTGGGTTGAGAAAGGCAATTTGAGAGTAAAGTGTACAACACAACCCTGGTCAGGGCTCGAACCTGGACCACTCAATCTGGAGGCAAGTGCACTAATCACAAGGCCACTGCTTTTTCACATAAGGTACATGTATTGTTTTCTTGTATGTACAATGTGGCGTGGTAAGTTTTTTCATATGAACTAATTCTTGTTTTACAGACGGTCAAATCTCCTTAGATGACCTCAGGTTCCTCACTAGGATTCACTACAAGGCAGGATCAGATAAAACGTGGGGAGAACATGAAATAGACTATGTATTCTTTATGCAGAAGGATGTTATGCTGAATCCAAGAGCCAATGAAGTCAAAGCCTGTTGGTATGTCTCGCAGGCACAAGTTCAGGAGCTACTCCATAAGTCAGAGGAAGATTCAACCATCCTGGTGACTCCATGGTTCAAAATGATTGCTCATCACTTCTTGTACAAGTGGTGGGCAAGCTTGAACGATTTATCACAGTTTGAAAATGATAGTGAAATTCACAAAATGGCTGGGGTGCCAACACCCATCTTACAGTTGTAAACTACAGGCCAAGGAAGTTCTCATTAAAAGGATATAATATGGTTTTATTACATGTATGTTTCAGATATAGTCATATACTGTACATGTACTTCATCAGTTGCTAACAAATAGTACTGTAATGACGGTGTCTTGTTGAATTGGCCACATTCATATTTTTGGTGTTGGAATGGAACTAGCTTGCAATGATGGCTTGTGCAAGGGACTATCATTTAAAAAGAGTGTGATGTCATTTGCATTTGAAAGTATTGACTCCCTGCATTAGCCTCAGTTGCAAACCAGTTCCAGTCTAATACCAAAAATACAAACTATGGTCTCTAAGACTCAAGAGATGCCAGGACCCTAATTTGAGCATCCGAGACCAAGATTTAAATGATTTTGGACTACAAGGCAGAAAAGAAAAAACAAAAATTTGTGACTCATCATGATGGCTTCCATGATTTTTAAGATCAGAGAAAAAATTCTGACCCACGATTTTCTAGGTACAGTGTAGCATTTTCCACCCCTTGTATTGGATAATTTGCACGTGCTTAATGCTTGAAAGACAAATCCCATTGTTTTTGTAGAACACCCATTTCTGTGGATCACTGGTTCTGTAATTGTGTGGCATATTAACAGAACATGAAGAGACACTAGTATACATGTAAACCATGCATGACTGATGAGGGAGTGATTTCTATGCTGTTCACGTGTTTTAATCCAGATCCAAAGTGGATCTTTACAGTCTGTGACTTAACTGGAAGTATTTTTATATTGCTTAAATATTTCTGTGTAGTTAACCAGTACAGGAGACTACAACTGAAAAAAACTATCTTGAATAGTTCTTATGAACAACTGCATAATAATAACTATCATGGACACTAATGTATGCTGACATAGACATTATTAATCTTACATTGGATCCTGCCCACATGCTTCAAATTTTACATTACTCTTAACAGGGCTGTGCTCCAGAAGCACCTGGGTACCACAGGTGACTAACTTTTGCCTTTGGCTGACTGGAAAAACCTACTTTTTTCACATAAGCTTTTAAGCTTATGTACCCAGCTCTTAAAAGTACTGGGTACCCAAGATTTCATGGTTGGGAAGTATTGGGCTTCTCTTGATTTTTCTTAGACCACAGCCCTGCTTTGTAAATTACTACTAAGTTGAAACCTGGCCTGTTTCTCTGTTGTCTGCATTAACAAAGTTCGGCTTTCGAACTTAGACTTCCAAAAAAATTTTTGGAAACTATATTCTACAGTTATGTACAAATCATGGTTATGTATTCAATTATAGAAATTTTGGTAATATAACTCCCGTGTAAAATAAATTATTACTACTCAGAAATGGAAATTCATTAAATGCTATTCATCTACAGAGTGGGCTTTATATACAGATGTTTGATTAGCCTGCACAGCCGGCAACATGTGAGTGATATAGAATGCATACCACTTGAAGGAGGAAGCTTGTCTCCATCCTTGCATTCACTCCTCCAACACACTCATTACTCCTGCAAGCTAAGCTGGATATGTTAGCTGGATAAAGAAATTAACCTTAAAATTTTCTGACTTTTAATTCTAGACCCGAAATAAAGAAATGAGGTACTGGAAATATTTGATGTTTAGACAATGCTACTTAAAGGAGCTCAGTCAAGGTTTGCGCATATTGCAAAATTTAGCCTCAATTTTTCAAATTCATCATTTGTAATCAGTGTTAATCTTCTCCATCCTTAGCCATCCTTTTTCCTTTATGGTTTACCATTATCTCTTTGGTGTTTTCCTATCTTATTAAACTGTTATTTTCAGGTTTCCTACCATTTAAAGGTAATTTTGTATGTGGCCAAAATAACTCAAAATACCGTCACTGAGCCCCTTTAATCAGGTTTAATTCACTTTCGATTAATTGCTTTGGAATGGGACTGGGAAAGCTTTGGCTCTATCTCATTTCCACACATCTAATTAAAATTACTATCTAAAGGGTTTCATTATTCTGCTTTTTATTATCTAGTAATCAGCACAATTTGTTTGGTTACCAGTCTGATGATTCTCACTGAAAATCCACAGATTACTAACCTCTGTCAGCTGTGTCTTTCACAAATTATTAATAATAATATTTTGATACAGGGTAAAAAAAAATCTTAAAAGTTGCAACTCCTTTTGTAGTTACTGTTCACAGAACAGGTGAAAATTAGAAACCTTGATTTTGATGGGTACTGTATGTGATCGCAGATTGTTCCAGTTCAAGCACTTTTGGTGAAAGCAAATAATAGCAAGTTCATTTATTTTAAAACTAGTTAACCAATAAATACTTACAAGGCCAGCCATATAAGTATTAACAAAGAATATCTTTCAAGTAAAAATAAAAATTGCTTCTGATTATACACATAGGCATCATAAGGTGATGTTACAGAACTCGATTTTTAATGATTCTTTTTTAAACGCCAATTTTTAGCGGTGTTAAAAAGATGTCATGAAACATGGTGCTCAGGGTGACTTTAATGCAACATTTTGTTGCAGTAACATGTTACAGGTTAAAGCGATTTTAAAACCTGCAACTTTGTCACCCAAATTTACAATGTGTGTTAAAAATCATCTTGTGTGATATCAACTTAACACGGAGTTCAATTTTTCTCACAACAATGTTGGGCGACAAATCATCGTTGCAACTGAGTACTCCCGTGTAACACCACCTTTAAACAGTAAACCATATGATAACCTTCAGTAAGCACAAAAGCTTTCAAAAGATGCATTAGCATATGTATACGTATAATTTATGCTGAGGAAAACTGCCCAGGACAGTTATATACATACAAACCATGGTCACAAATTTGACAGGGGTAGTCTCATTTCAGGGGTTATAGAGATACATATGTACACCTGTATCTAATTAACAGATCCCTCGATTCTGACTAGTTCTTCATGTGCCTATTTGTCATGTAATTGGCACACAATCATGTTGGTGTCCAGTTACAGGTAACCAGTTACGACCTGTTTGTAACTGGATACCTTTAATTGGGCACCCACCTTTTTCCCACGTCAATTGCATGCACTCTCACTGATGGTGTTCCTTCTTAATCCATCCCTTAGTGTTTGTAAACTTATGGAAAATGGACAAACTTTTTGGCGCAAAAGAACCTGTTAAAGACTTCCTAATCTCTAGTTTGTTATGATTGATATAAAATATTGTTAGTATAGGCCTTGTGTCATACAATTCAGAGAGTAACTGTGCTTAAAATTTTGAAATCACTCACCCGATTTCCCCCCCACCCCCGAAGCTGTATCCCACTCAGTCCAATTACTAACCTACTATTTGAAATTCACTACAACTATGTCACTTGCACTTAATGAGAAGTCTCTAAGGTTTCATTGTATTTTGATTCATCTTCAAGTCGCAGTGTTGCCCACTTGTTTGGAATACCAATCTTATTCCAAGTGTTAGCAAAGTCTACAAACTTGTCCCAAAAGTCTGGTTTTGTAGAGTCCTCGAAGTATCCATTTTCACTGGCAAATTTACGCTGTGCAGCAGAGAAAAAGTTAGTCAGAATGGGTTTTAATTTCCCCTTCAGGGATTTACTATTATTAACACGAATCTTTCAATTGGTAACACTCACAGATATGAAATTTCTCTGCATGGCAACTACAGAGTATGGTACGTATGTACATGTGCATGTTGCAACAGAAGTTCAAATTACAGTGTACATGTAGTAACAACTATAACAACAACATTGCCAAGACCTTTGTAATACATTGACCTGAAGTGACCCTGTTTTTGCAACTCCTCCAATCCCTAACTGATATTCCCAAGATGCCCATTCCAGTTCCTTTAGTGGCAAGTGTTTCATCCACTGAACTTAAATGCTACAATGTGAACACTTGGCTGTTTTGCTCTGTAATGTTACATCAGCAAATGATGGACAGATAAAGAGATTTCTCCACCTACCAACTTGTATTTACTATTCTTACAGGACTCTTCTGAGCATGTCTACAAAAAGCTGTTTGAAAGACCCAGAAATTGTCACAGTAATCGACTGAGCTATCTCTTGAAATTATTATTTGTGCACGCATCTGCAGTACACATACCGGTAATATTTCCAAAGGTTTAATTAAACAATTTAGTATGTTTTTCTTTGTAAAATTTGCAGCAGTATTGATAACGTTCAGAGTTGATGAAGTGGGGTTCTCTTTAAAAAAGTTTCATTCCAACTGTACATCATTTCAATTTTACAGCTGTAGCAGCTGTAAAAACAATAAAAGCAATTTACCAGCAACATTGCAGTTTTGCCTGCATTCTTCATGTCTTCCTCTTTCGTCTTGAAGGGGGCATATAGTTTAGCTGTAAATTCAGCTATTTTTAGGTGGTTTAACTTCCTGTTGAGTACCTGCAATGCAATAAGTATAAAAGTAAAACTGTTAAACTCAATAAATGATACAGTGCATATTTTAGATCATTCTTATAGCTTTGCATAATTTCAGTTGAATTACAAAACTTCATTTGGAACTTCAGGTTTCTGTGAGTGGTCAAACCAAACAGCTTGTTACTTACAGACTACATAATTATGCACAATACCAAAAAAATGCACAGTGCAGTCATAATAGTACATGTATAATAATTAGAGAGCTGCCTCGCTCTTTTGCTTCAGGCTCACTCATTGCGGTAGCAATTACCCTGGCCCATGTTCAAACACTGGCCAGGGTAATTATAATTATGCTATCATGACTGGACTGTGCATTGTTTTTGGTAATCTGTAAGTATCACAGTAATAAAACAGTGACTCCATAGATGGTGAAACTTAATATTTTACATTAATATTCAATTCATTTTGCTAATAAAAGTAACGCAAACCTTTTTCCTTATATCTGCTCTCCATAATGTATATTTTTCCTTGCAATATGATACACAACTCGAGACATGATGAGCATCAACCTTGTCAGTTCCACCTAACAAGATCTCAATCTTTTCCTGAGAAAAAGGGCACTCGATGTAAGCATACAACTACAAACATTTCAAGCCTTTAACTGCTTACATAAAATTCAGTCTCGGTCTACACATGCATAGCTGCAATATAAAAGTGGCCACCAATTGCATTACATGACTTGTAAGCACTGGAGTACATTTACCCATAAATTTAATCCTAGAGTACTACACACTGTATTAGACTTCATATTCTTCCCTAAAAGTACATTTTCCAGAACTTCACACATAATGAATTAACAAGACATATTTTTTTTTACTTCAATTGATTTTTACTCATAACATGTGCCCATTTAAGCTTTATGAATAATTTGTTGTCCCAATTATCAAATTAACTGGTGTCTTTTATTTAGTTAATACTATTTTTAACAGTAATCATATATGCACTGAAACCATTATATAAATTTGGAAGACAGAAATGTAGGATGCTTCTTCACATCTCTTTTAAAGTGGACATCATTGCTTAAATACATTCTCGTACCTTTAATTTTTCCAAAGATCCATGGACTAGCCATGGTCCATGCATCACAAATATTTCCTTTGCTTTTAGCACCAGTTCTCGCTGCAAAAAAAAAATTGAAGAAAATTAAATCAAAAGGAAACACGAAAATTCAGTTACATGAAAATCACACATCCCATGGATCTGTTCGAAATAAAATGATTAATCATTAATAAATTATAATTACTAAATCTCACTTGCAAAAAAGGTTTACTTCAAGATTGCTATCCAAAGACATTAACTTACACCTGATTGATGTGAAGTACCTAAGGTCTTCAAATTTACCATACCTCAAAACCACAGGTCTTGACAGTAAATGGAAATTTTCTTTGGTTTTGCACTTGTTGTTTTAGTTCCTGCAGTTCAGCTAATGCTTGCCGAAGTAGAACAGCATTCTGTTGGGATTGTCTCACCAGGTCAGTGAGTAACCGCTCTAATTAAAAGAGATTAGTAATCATTAGCACTGATGAGTTCAAAGTACATAAGATTGCTATTTTTAAATGTGCTGAATTAAGAACAACATAATAACATTACATGTTAGCGTCATTATGTTCCAACTATATGCTGCATCATATTATATGTTATTCATTATACAGCTGTAAGAGACAACTACAATTTGGGTTTGTTTTCTGTTTCCATGATCTTGCTGTCATAATTTATACATTGTATGCCATGACAAATTATATCACTAATGTAAAGCAGGACATATATTGAGAAGTCACTTTAGGATCATGTTGTAGTACCTGTACCAGTATTATTTTGAGGAAATTTACCTTTACTTAAGTGAACAATGACTTTGAATTACATGAATCTGAATCTTTGAGTGGTTGCTTATAAGTGCAGCCATACAATAGTAATTGAATTCCCAAAGATGGGTTGCAGGCACTTACAGAAGCAGTCACTTTAACCAGTTTGAGCGAAAATGCAAACAGGATATCACAATGTGGGTCATCGCTGTTGCTGGCCACTAAAAATTAATGTTACGAGAGAGATCTCAAGGAGAGTTCACCTGTAGTTTTGCAGGTGTATGTACATTAATTAAGTCCATACCTGTAGAAGGAAGAGCAGCTATGACTGTGAACGGTTGACCATTGCTTGAACTTGATGGCACTGGAGAGTTCTGTGCCATGGACGATGATCCATGAAAAATAGCTGAATCATTCAGTGCACCACCAGAGGCGATAGGACACTGCCGGGCAGCATCTTCATTAGCCTTCAAAAGGAAACGACAGACATTACACACTTAATTTATATCTTATTTGGATAATTTGACTAAGACCTGAGTATTCCATCATTGCCGTTCATTACTGGCCTAAATATCCCATATCTCGTTAATTCCAATTTCAAAATTTCCTTAACAAATAAAGAAGCCTAAGCCGTGTATTACACTGAGATAAAACACAACAGGTATTTGAGAACATGAGGGAAATGTAGAAAATGTGCGCTGCGAGTAGAAACAACAAAGCACATACATTGTACATGTAGATCAACAAACTGAGACTTCTCGACTGTTTTCACTTCTTCCTCTGTATTTGTTAAGTTAACCTCCTCTTCAAAACTTTCTACTACTTCGCAGAGAACTCCATCACAAATTTCTTCAAAGAAAATGTTTTTTGCCATCTCTAACAAACATTTTGACTGAGGTAATGTGGCGAAAAAAAATAAAACACGCTTTTTCTATGTTTTATACTCTGACAAAACATGGGTTTTTGACCAATCAGAGTGCACGCAGGGTCCTATCTATATTATAATACTTGATAACGCAGGATATCTGTTCTAAATATCCCATATCCCATTGATTTTCCCCCCCAAATATCCTGTATCCCATAAAAGATGTGCAGTTTATAAGATGTGGTCTTCAAATGTACATTTATTTACACTTTATATGTAAGCTTTCATGTATTACTAAGCTTTTTTCATGTAAATACCTCAACATTTGGTACTTTTTAAAACAAAGTCAAAAGTACAGCGAAAATAATAATAATAATAAGAAGAAGAAGAAGAAGAAGAAGAA